GAAGTGGAACAGAGAAACCCGTGGGTTCAAAATACGCACCTTGAAGGATGATCCCATCAGGCAAACGTATCCGCACCAAAGTGAAACGGTAGGTCTTGGATGGGCGTTTCTCTGCTTCACGCATAGCTCGAGTTCTGAGCTGAGAGTTTTTCTCAACTTCCTCCGTTCTGGAACATAATAAAACAAGAGATGATTGTGTAACATAGACAATAACGCATTTGACTCTAAGGTGGAACGAACCGATCTTCAAAAGTTCAAATGCCCTTGGGTTGCCCCAGGGGTGAATGATCGACGTATGGAAATAAAATCTTGTAATTACATTCATTTGAATTCCCTTTGTGTAAGAAATTACCTGAGTACTTAGTTTGTTCAATAATTGATACATGCAGTTCTAAAACCCTCCATTATAGCAGCTTTGCAGGCCGTTCCCAGCCAGACAAATAATCTACGGGGGAGGGGGGGGGAGGGGGGATTAACGGTGGCCAATTTACGTTATCAACTCAGTCGATTATACTGAATTACCCAATCTACGAATTATCTGACTTGAAGAACAATAGGCAACCAGATGACTGTCTTTTCAAAGGATTTTTAGTAAAACTTATGTTACCTTGCCATCTGTTCACTTTTGACCTCTTCAGCTGTCTTGTTAAAGAAATCCCAGGGGACCTCAAAATGACGTGCTTGGCTGCTTGGCTTGTAAACCTGCAAGGGTGAAAACAACACCAAACAAAACAAACTTAAAAACATAAATAAAAAAGCAAAAAAACAAAAAAACAAACAAATTGAGAAAAAGGAAAGAAATTGAAAAGGATATGCTGTAAGGCCATCATTGAAACCTGACAGAAAATATTGTGTTTTATTCAATTCATATCAGCTTCTCTTTCAATTTCTTTTTAAGTGTAACTTGATTTTATTTTTTTTTACGTTATAATTCATAAACACCAAATGATACCAGCATTCTTATGATTTCTAAGCCACTAATCCACATTTCAAACTATTTCCATGTAAGCTAAAATCATGTTCATTATACACGTGCATCTTCATCTTTCACTCATACAAACTGCATCTCTTTGCAGAAACAGGCATCATTAACCTTCTAACCTCTAAGAATGACTAGTATATAATTTCCTCTTAAAATATCACCCACGAATCACACAGTAACATAATGAGAATAAAGGAAATGATCACCAGCTAAAGAAG